TTTTCTAGATAAAATGATTACTGCTTAAGCCGCCATCTTGAATTTTGAAATTTTGATCTCATACTTATGTAGCACACCTATTGGCGCATCCAACGCAGTTTTTGTTATTTTCCTAGCGGCGATAGTGACTGAGCTAGAGTCCAAAACGTGAATAGTGGGCATTAAATCTTCAAACCGCCGTAGCTGCCGGGGTTGCCAGGTGTAAGCGATAAAAATAGTCAAATGTGATTTCAGGATGCGCCCTCCATCGACGGATGCCAATTTTCAAGTTCTAAAAGTATTCCTTTGACAGTTATAGTTTTTGGGGTAAATCTCAAAAACTACCCTAAAATCGGGTAATTTTTTTCCACCATATGAAAGATTCTATAGAGATACACAATCGCTCCATACATGCCGAATACCTGCGGGGTTGCCAAGTCGGTCAAAATCGAGGTTGAATTTCAAACGTTGTTTGCTCTCAGTGTTGCCAGTCGATCGTTCTATTTTTTCCATCGGGTAACTTGTAAAGTTAAAATTAAAATATTTGCATCGAAAAAAATTCAAAATTCGACAAAAAGTGTTTCCCCAAAAATCTCATAAAGTATCAAAAATTTTCAAGATTTTTTTTCACCTGGCAACACCTCAGCTACTTGCCTAAAAATTGTTTCCCCGGAAGTAGTCTGACAAATGTCGCCAAGTGCGTCAAAATCGGCTCGACGTGGTGACGATACCCAATTTTTCGGATAAAATGGATGCTGGTTTGGCCGCCATCTTGAATTTTGGAAATCCGGCTCCGTACCGATGTGGCCAACTCGATAGCGCATCCGATGCAGTTTTTACCATTTTCCTAGTGGCAATACCGACCGCGCTAGAGTCGACAAAGTAAAAAATGGGCAAAATTTTTCAAATCGCCGCTCCTACCAGGGTTGCCAGGTGACGACGATGAAAATGGTCAAATGTCATTTCGGGGAGTGCCCTCCGTCGAGGAAAAGCATTTTTGAAATTCCCAAACGGCTCCTTCTACTTTTCACCTTTTTGGGGTAAATCTTCGAAATTACCCTAAAATCGGGGAAAAATTTCACGTCATTCGAAAGAGCCAGCGGAGACTCACGACCAGTCCATACCAGGCAAAGAGCTCCGATGTTGCCATGTGTGCTAAAAGTGCGTTTGAATTTTTCGAAAAAGTGAAAAAATCACAAAATGGCCGCTGCCGGCGCCGCCATATTGATTTTCCCGAGTTTCATAATTTTCCCATAGTCACGACTATATCAGGCAAGGGACCTCATTCACAGATTTTCTCCGCTGGCCACCCAGGTTCCCAAACAATTCGGGTTATGAGGGCATGTCGAAAAACACGTTTTCTACCGTGGAGCCCAGGGTTGTCAGCTCGCGGAAACGAAAACTACCAAAAGTCATAGGGCTCCCCCGGCGCCACACCGCACCGAGTCTGTTTTCTGCGAAAAGTGCGTATTTCGAAATTTCACTTTTCTCCCAAAATCTCCTAAACTACCACGAAAATGGTAGAAATCGGTAGTGATGTAGAAAGATGCCCACCGAGCCCCACGACCGGCCCATAGAACGCGAATCCGTCCGACGCCGCCATCTTGGAGAAAATCTCACTGGAAAATGGCGATTTTTCATTGCCGAAACAAAATGGCCGCCCCCGCCGCCGCCATGTTGACGCGCAAATGAAAACTCCCCCTACGTGAAAATCGACTATACTTCCGAGTCGCCAGAATAAAAATCCCCCCTCCGCACCCACCACAAAAGAATTGACGATTCGCCCGAACAGAGGTCGAAAAATGCCAAATTTCCAGGTGAAATATCTCGGCCGCCATTTTGTTTTTTTAATCAAACCTTTTTCCAGTGTCATTTTTTTAGCCCACTCTACGACCATTTTGAATATCGTAATCGTAGAGTGAATAATGTAGAAACTAAAAAAATTATCTCGCCGCCATTTTGTTTTTTGGCTGAACCGCATATGCCATTTCAACTCATTTTAAAAAAATATTATCAGTCTCCATACATGAAAACGTCATTTTCCCCCTCCTTCTACCCGAAAAAAGCATGGAGTGAGTCAGTGAGTCAGTGAGTGGTAATTAAGCTTTATATATTATAGACTAGCTTTCGCTTGGTTGCCCCGGGCTGCGAGCAGCCCGGGGAGGTCACGAGTAGCTGGTGGAATCGGGGCGGTGGGGTTTCAAGTCCGCCTATTGTTATGTCGGGTTTACAGTTTGAAATTGCGTAGAAAAGGTCAGTAAGTTCTATCTTTAAATAAAAGGTGTTAAAGGACACAAAGCTCCATACATCACAGAAAAAGTGTTGCCAGTTGACACTTAATAGAAAAAGAAATATTCAGTCGAAAAACGCAAGCAAAACCTAAAATAAATTTTGTATAGATACTTAAAATAAGTTTTGTCCTTTATTCTCTTATTCTTATTTATTAGTAAATTACTGTATAATATTAAAAAACAATCGAACATATATTTCCATCAGTTTTACTATCATTAATTAATCAATTAAATGTCAATTGCATTATTACATTACATTATTTATGTAAGATTTATTTATTATATGAAAAGGGAACCGATGTCGTGGCCAGATATTAGAATAGATTAATTCACGACGCGATGGGGCTTTAAGACCGCCTTCGTTTCTGAATAGAAGCTTTCGCTTGGTTGCCCCGGGCTGCTCGCAGCCCGGGCAAGTCACGAGTAGCTAGTGGAATCGGGGCGGTAGGGTTTTAAGTCCGCCTCCGTTGCAGAATTTGAGTTTTTCGTTTTTTTTTTGTTATGTTTGTTATATAGTTTGTAATCGCTTAAAAAAGTTAGTAAGTTCTGTCTTCAAATGAAAGGTGTTTAAGCACCATACATCAAAGAAAATGGGTTGCCAGTTTACGCTTAACAGAAAAAGAAATATTCAGTCGAAAAACGCAAGCAAAACTCTAAATACATTATAGTCTCTTATTCTTATTCAATAGTAAGTTTATATTTAGTATGAATGAAAAAGGATCGAGTAGATATTTCCCCCATTGTTACTTTAAATAATACACCAAATAAATAAATATCAAATTTCAAACTTATATCTACGTAGAACACTTTCATTTTGAATATCAAAAGAACATGTTTTCTCAATAATCTAAAATTATAGAAAAATATATTTTAAGCATTAAATATCGTGTCAAAAATTGGATTTTATTTTCTCCATACTTACCTATGAGACAGTGTGGGATTAAGATACCTATACAAATGATCCATATATACACGCTACAGAGATCCCGAATTGTCAAGTCCATCGAAATCAAAATTGAAATAAAAATGGTCACGATCATCTTTTAAACCTTATAAACCAAATGTTACCATCAACAAAAGCGATTCGTTTCTGGCACTTCGCCGGCCGCTGCCGCGGCACGCTCGCTACGCTCGCTCGGCTCGTGCGTTGTTTTTCATACACTAACCCAACCTAACCGATATGTCATAATAAACCTATACAAGTTTTTGTTGCTTTACTTATTGTAAAGTTCTTGAGCATAAACGAGTCGCTTGTGGAATCGTCCGCCTCTTGTTATGTTTACAGTTTGTTGTTTTTTTCGCAGTTCTAATCTAATCGATTAACCAGGTCTCTATTGATGGTGTTCTTTATGGCTTGCTTCGCTTGC